TGATGAGAAAAAAAAAACTCGGAACAAGAAATCAACGGAAAAAAAATATCCGTAAAATTTGAGAGAATGGAAGAGAAGGAAAATGACTGGGTCATTACATGGAGGATGTATCAAATCTCAAGTGATTAGGAAGAGTGTTGCAAGGTTTTGGACTTAGAGTTTTGTCCTTCAAGGTTTTGGTATACCCGGACAAAAGCCTCAATATTTTGAGTGACTTAGGAGTGCTACGTAATTGACGGATTTTAGTAGGACCTAAAAGAATGTTTGAACATTTTAGATTTCAAAGGTTGGGTCATGCTAATGTGGCCAATGTTTGAGGGTTACCCCAATGGTAATTCGTGTGGAGTGTCACATGGGCAAAACTCTCTTGGAACCATAATCTTAGAGTATTCGGTATGGCTCCTCCACTTTTGTAAATACAAAGACAGTAAAATAGCTAGTCCACTTAAGTGGAATGATGTTGATTGGACTAACTATTTAAATTATAATTTAATTTATTAAAAAAAAAAAGAGAGAAGGAAAGAGAAAATGTGGATAGAGAAAGAAATAAGACCCATTGACTAGCCAAAATACCATTACATGTGGCGAGTGTTTTGCTAGCCATTCAGTAAAACCCGTCATGTGAGCCCATACGAGGGTCTTGGCTAGCTACTTCTATTTTTTAGTTTTTTAGTTGAATTATTAAAGTTATATTTATATATTAAGGTGTATTCAAATTTCTCATTATGATATTAAAGCCTCTTAATTTTAGAGTCTCTTCGTACCTCTAATTTAGAAATTATCCAAAATTTAGTTTTATCAATAAAAACATCATTGATAATTATGATCACACCCTTATCAAACCTTATAATAAGTGTGTTCATCAGTTCATTCCATAGTCCTTACGATTTCTATTATACATGCACTTCATTTATCATGTCAATATATACATTTATAAGAAATAATATATATATATATATATATATATATAAACACATTTATGACTCATATTTTTCTAAAATTCCTTCGTATCCTAATGATTGGGTTGCTCCCGTATTCTTGAGAGCTTAACTCGAGCATTTGCACCCCTAACTTTTAATCTAACATTTTTTTGTCCTGCAAAAAAAAAAAATCTAAAACCATAAATGTTACATCTCTTATATACACCTATTATAGACTTTTCCAAGCAACCATTAAATTTAAAGAGTAATGCCAAGAGCTCCCTACTGAGAAGAGCGGAGCTCTTTTTATGTAATCATATAAATTATTTAATACATCTTTCAATTGATTGATCAAAATGGATAACTCATTGGTAGGCCTCTCTTGAGAGGATTACTCGAATTTAAATTACTTTTTTAACAATTAATTGTTTGCTTTAAGTCCTAATGATTAATCTCTCTTGCCTAAAATTTCATAACATAATTGTGATAACTTTTGTATCCTTTATGTGTGGCGTGTTACTTTTTGTCTTGATTCTTAAATTGTTCTTAGTTCATTGCATTTGTCATAATAATATTTCATAACTCGTAATACCTTCATATAAATATATATCGAGAGAAAAAGAGTGGTACCAAAATAGTGCATACCACTGATCAACATTTTATTTGTATAATTCTATTTTTTTTTTTTTAAATCTACTAACCAAGGCACAACGTCATCCTATAAACAATTTTAAATTAGGGTAAAGTACGGCAACACCCCTAAGGTTTGCCAAAAGGACACACAGATACAACTTACCCTATCTTTGGACAAAGACACCTCAAGTTTGATACAGCTACCAAAGATACCCTAATGGTAATGAATTGACAGTTTTGCCTTTTAACTTTTAATTTGAATGTTAAAATGACCTTTCTAACCTCATCCATGCCCATTTTTTTCCTTCTCTCATCTCTTTGTTCTCTCTTCCTCCTTTTGCCGCCCCAACACACACACACACACACACATATATCCACACACACATACACATACATATATACATCCACACACACACACTTAAAAGGCGGCAACGGCGACCGCGAGCCGCCTCTCCTCCACCGTCATTGACGGAACCCTAACAGAGGCATCCAACCACCAAAAACCATCAGGCTGCCGATGTCATCCTCCACCTCTACATCAACGAACCTTTATCCTTCAAATCTGATGAGGTCGACTGGCCGACTCTAGATCCGCGACCCGCCTTCGATTCCATTGACCAGTTTGACGTCCAGATCTACCTCCACTCGGATGTCTAACAAAGATTGTTATTGGTGAGATAATGAATTTGGGTATGTGAGAGATCAGGTTTTATAATTTTGTTTCGATCTGGGTTTTGCAAAGGCGAGGGTGATTTCTAATAGGTGATAGATGGCTTGTAGTGAGAGAAATTTCTGTTTTTTTTTTTTCTTTCTTTCTTTCTTTCTTTGTTGGTCTCTGCAAGGAATCAATGGTTTAATTTTTTTTGTTCATTTTCAATTTCTGTCTCTGCTCATCAATCTGTGTGTTGGAATTTTAAATTGGTTTCCGAATGTGCGTTACCACCAATGTTGGTGGTGTCGGCCAAGAGTTAGTGGTGGAGAGAAAGAGGTGGTGGTGGGGAGGGAATGAGGGATCTTGCTATATTAGAGCTTGGCAACGATGTTGGTGGTTGTGGTGGTGGCGGAGTGAACATCGTGTATATATATGGAGAGAGGGTGGACGATGGGTGGTGGTGGCTGCGCAGTGGACGATGATCTTGACGGCGACGAAATAGGGTCGCGCCATTTGGCAACAACACCCCCTCTGTGGTTGTGTGTGTGTGTGTGTGTGTATATAGAAAGATGAAAAGGGTAATTTGGTTATTTAATTATTTTGATATTTTATAATTAAAATTAATAAAATAGTGAAAGGTAAAGTTGACTTTTCACATGTTTTAAGGCTCTGTTTGGCTTGCAACTCTCATAAGAGGGTGTCATTATCCAAAAATAGGATAAGTTGTATCTGTGTGTCCTTTTAACAAATCTCAAATGGTGTTATTATACTTTACCCTTTAAATTAACTTAAACAACAATGTTACACGGTCTTTAGATGCTACATATTTTAATTGTTCAATATATTTTATAATATATATATAATATTCCTAATTTTAGTAAGATTCTCATATTCTCTTAAATCTAAGCTTCTATAATAATAGATTCCGACCACCAATTCATGCACTTTTCAATGCATCAAGACATTGTTAGGCAAGGAGCTCCAATTTAGCTTGGCTCGGCTCGTTTAAGGTTTTTTTGTTAGACAAATGAGTTGAGATTATATTAAGTTCAATTTTTAGACTCATTTAATAAACAAGTTGATCATGAATGATATTAGACTCTTATATATATTCATCAATATTAGCTCTCGTGAACATAAACTCATAAATATATATATATATATATATATATATATATAGGCTTTTGTAAATTTGCATAAGTTTATCAACAAATCAAAAGGATATGGAATACATGTGAGATATATTTTTGTAAATTGGTATATTTCGGTAACAAAATAAGTCCTAGTCGAGTTTTAATTTCAGTTACCATATCCGACTTGACATCGATTGCGGAATTGGAAGTTTGTTCAGAAGAGGAAAATACCGTTGATCATCAAAAATGAAATAACAACGATTAGGACATCGTTTCTCACTTAGGACACATCGATATACATGGTATATTTTTAAAGATCCAAAAATACAGAATTTCCAAGTTCATATTGGATTTTGTCAAGTGGGAACCGGTACCAAGATTGGGAACTAGTTCCACATGTCCTGACTGCAAAAGAAGTCCAGTTTCCTTATTCTGTTTTATGCCTTTTTCAATACAACTTTCCTTCTAAATCCTATGTACGAAATTTCCTTTATTTTAAGAAGGAATAGGACTTTGGAAACCTCTATATAAACCATGTCATTTACATTGGTTTATTCACGACTTTTACATCATTATTCAGATATTATACAAAGCCTTGGGAAGTTTATTGCTCTCAGAAAATCAAAGTTGATATTTCTGTTGTCTTCTTAGAACATACACATATACACCTAGTTAGGTCAGAGTTGTGGCGTTCAAATCCTAATCGTGGTCATACAGTTGCATCTACAACCATCAAACAAAAACAGATCTTCTTCTACATCATTCAGACGATTGAAGAACAGAGGTAAAATCAATCACACTTTGAAAGGGTTAGAGCATTTGAGAAGTGTTGTCTGATCTACCTGCTACTCTTCTACAAATATCAAGCATAAACCTGAGATCAAGTTACTGTTGGACGGGGAGTCGCAAAGCCAAGAGGATCGTTAGCAGTTGGTGTTTGGTAGAACGATAGGGTTTGAGCCAAAGTCAAAGTTCGATATACTTTGTTTCAAGTATAGTGGATTGGTTTACTTTGAACTGCACAGTCCACGAGATTTTTCTCATAACAGTTGACGTATTTTATCAACTGGGGTTTCCTCGCTAAAATCCTGGTGTCATCTCTAACTTTATATTTTACTTTATTTTATCTGCATGTGATTAACTCTTTAATTGCTAAAATATAAAATAAGTAAAATTAGTAATAATACAGATCTATTTTACAAAACAAATAAAAACTTTCTAAGTATTTTTCACTATACAATCTCAAATTGTTCCTAACTCTGGTATAAACTTGATAAAATATTGACAATTTGAATCCAAATAAATTCAAATTCGACTCAACTCATTTATACAGAATCTCCTTTAAACCAAAAGTTAATGCGACCTTATCGCTAGCTTAAGAGCTATAGGAACACCCTTGTATTTATTTGAATATTTTTATATTGATTGTCTAAACTATTTTATTTTATTTTTGAATTTAAAATGAGAAAATACATGAAACCGAGACCGCAAAGCTAACTGAGTTTGATTCTCATTCTAGTATTTTCTTTTTTTTCCTACTTTTCCATAAATTTAATATACATATATCATTAGGAAGTAGTCTCACATGGGAGTTGGCTGAGAACACATTTATGTAGTAATATAGTTTTTTTTTTTTTTTTTTTGGTTTCCCCTCCTTGTATTATAATTACTCCATACAGCATTTGTCGCTGTGTGTGCATTAAATCCCAGTGATGAAAATCAATAGTCAAGATTACTGTACATGGGGCCAACATTCTTTTTAATCCCATTTAGTTATATTATTCATTGCATCCACACTATTGAGCCAAATGATGATTATGATGAAAAAAGTTGGGAGGTAGAACTAAGAGTTCCCTTAAAAACAAAGCTGTATTTTGTAACCTGGAACTGATTTTGTCTAGTTTTGTCATTTTTTGGTCAGTAAGCAACAAGTTATTCCCTTGTTAGTTAGCTACAATCCCTCTTCTTCACACTTTAATTTGATCTCTCCCTTCCTTGCTCTCTGACAGGGTAGAGAGAGATAGAGAACATGTATATATATATATGTGTGTGTGTGTACAAATATATGCATCAGAAACGAGGGAGAGTTGTTGATGAGTGATGAGTAGGAATTAGTGGGGGGATGAGGTAGGAAAGAAAAGACTGATGGGGGATGATGAAGATTTGTTTCATCAGTAACGAGGGAGGAGGAAAGAATAACTATGATGATTCTTTGATCCTTTCCTTCTAAATATGCCCAAAGGAATGAACCATCCCATCCCATCCCTCTCTCTCTCTCTCTCTCTCTCTCTCTCTCTCTCCCCTTCCTGAGTCCATTATTATCTCTCTCTTCTATATCTAATTAATTACACCCACACCATCCAATTAAAACCTTCTCTCTGTCTCTCTCCTATTTACTGTACAAGCCATCTCATATCTTAAATAGAACCAACTGCCCCTCTCCTTTTTGCAATCTCTCATGTTTGTTACTGGGTCTCTCTCTCTCTCTCTCTCTCTCAGTGTGTAAATGTCTTTCAAAGGTTTCAGTACAAGGATGCTTTTCTATTTCATGGTGGTTTAACAAAGGGTTTCTCACAGAGTTTCTTGGCATTCTGTCCACCTCCTATAACATATATACATATATATATATACCTACCTCTCTCTCTCTCATATATATGGAGGTGGGCATACTGCCAACTGAGCTCTGTTGGTATCTCTTTGTAAAAACCCTCGTGATTTCTCCAAAAACGGCCGTCATGTTTCACTCGCTTGTTGTATACATCATAAGGATGAAGGTAAAAGTCATATCAACTTTATGCTAAGCTTGAAGTGCATATACATACACACACACACACACACACGCTATATACTAGCTTTTTTCATTTTTCTTGTATGATGATTGATGATTTCCTTTATACATGATGATCATAAAGTAGTTGGGCCTTCTGGGTATAGTTCAACTTGATCATCATTCCACCTTCAATTCTATGATTTTGTGATTTAATTTAATTTTCTTTTTGAAAGAAACATTTTCTAAGCACTTTTCTCTTTCTGCAGGGTTTTGATTGCTTGTGTGCCTAACCCATCTATTTCTGGAGTGACAAAGCAACACATCAAACACAAAAGTCTATTTTATTTCTTTTTCTTTGATGTTTACTGGCTGTACATGTGACTGCAAATTCTGAACCCTAGCTCATATATACCTACATATTTTTATTTTTATTTTTTAAAAAAAAAATTAAAAAATTCGTCTGGATCTATCAGAAGAATTACTTGATTTTGCTTTCCGTCCCCTTTTTTCACATTAACAGTACCGTGGGTTTTCTTCTCTGTAATGATCCAAAGTTTGTCCTATTTACCGTCGTGTGTTCTCTCTGTAATGATCCAAAGTTTGTCTTGTATATATATAGACTCTCTTTCTTTTAACTCTCTTATGTTTTTGTATAACATATGCTCTCTTTGTACATGCTTTCTAGAATTTCAAGTTAAGATGGATATGAAGTTTTCTTGTAATTTTACAGAAATTCATGAAGAATCATGGTAAGACACTGTGTGTAGCTAGTTTCTCATAAGACCAAAATGAGGTTTTCATTTCAAGCTCTTGCATGAATCCAAACCTGTTTCCTCACCGATTTTCTATGTGATAAAGTGCGAAATTTACATGATTATTAGGTTAAAATAAAATGAGGTTGAATTTTATTTATTTATTTATTTATTTATTTATTTATGAAAAGGTGAGTAAGATTGAATGTTGATGGTGTTATATGCATGTTTCGATGTCATCATCTATCGGTGTCTATAATTATTATGTATATTTGTTTTGGTGGGGGCAGTTTTGTAATTGGGGGTATGGCTCTTCCGGAATACGTTTCTGATACTACCCTACCCATATACGTAGGCTCATGATTGAAGACTGACAATGGCTTTTAAGAATGTAAATTGCTATCCAGACTCTCCATCGAAGCGCGTGTTTTACATCACTGGTGTGTCATGCTCATCAACGGCAAGAAAGCATAGAAGACAATAATTGAATGGTCAACTGGTGTATCTGATTTTTACGCGTGTCATTGGAGGGGGTGGTGGTCGACACTAAGCGTTTTGGTTTGTTTTCCTCTGCAATGCCATGCAGGCTGCACCGAGTAACTGTGTGTTAGTGCGTGTTCGTTGGGATAAACATTTGAAAAAAAGAGAGCATTCGTTAATTACTTTTTACTATGAGAGAACCCAGAAAGAAGAAAATTAATAATAATTCGACGATCATTTTTTATTTTTTTTGTATTTTTTTGTTTGGCGACTCTTTGTTGTTAATACAAGTCTCAATTGACAATTTTCTCAAACTAGATTTGTATTATTTCCCTTGTAATATCAAAGTATAGTTGGTAATTTAGTTGAAATCATTTTTAAGACTACGAAAGTAAGAGAAATGAAAGAAAAGAGCAGCTGTATAGAAGTGTATTAGTTGTATTTGTTTAGAGGGTAGCCAATGAAATCATCATCATTTTTTTCATTATATACTATATCTTCTACTAAATTTAAATTTCTTTTTATTTAATTTAAATTTTTTAATATATTTTTAATTACTTTATACCATATGAGTTTCTTTGTCACTTATCTTTAACACAAACAACTATTTCTCTTTTCGTATATGCATGGCCTAAATTGAACCAGACTATACCATAAGTTAACTTTTTTATTATATCATTCATATGCTTTAAATCTAATGTTCTGTCACACATTCATTATTTAATGTTCCGTTACACATTCATTATTTTTCTTTTCTACTCAGTGATTCATATTTTTTTAAAATTTATTTGGTATTCATTTATCACAAATTATACTACTAACTTGCCTCCATTTTACCAACCGGACTCTAATTCGTCTTACTACATCACCATTTACCTTCCCATTTTTTTGTAGCATTGATCCAAGATAACGAAAATAATTTTTTTGAGTAATCATTTAATCTTAAAGCGAGATATCTATATTGTCATACTTTTCTGTTTTCTAAATTTTACAACAAAACGAAATATATGCCATGTAAAAGTGTATTATTCGTATTAGTTTTGTCAAAGGGTTGTTGTGTCCTTTTGTGTGTCCTTCGCGAAAAGGATAGAAATAATAAATTAAAAAAATATATAACACTTTTAACTTTATTTTTTTATTTTTTAAAAATGTAAAATGTATAAAAATAATAAAAAAATTCTTACACTTATATATATAAATAAATTATATAGATAAAAAGAGGAGAGAACAAAAATGAAAAGAAATTAAGAGAGAGAGGAGGGTCCATTTTTAAGAACAGTTTTTAAAGAGTATAATTTGAGAAAAAATTGATAGTTTAGCATTTTTTTCATCCAAGGGCAACCTCCATTTAGGGAGTAAGGCCGGTACTACTCAGTCACTTTGGGCTTTAGTAGTTTTATGAAAATTCAATTAAAATGAAACCTAGTTTCAATTTTTTATAAATATAAATTTATTTTAAAACAAAAAATTGAGCTTAAAAGTGTTCTAAAAAAATTGAACCGAAAATCGTTTTCCTTTCTTTGCGAATCAAATTTTCCAGAGGGAACTAGGGAGATGATTTTTGGGGAAAGATTTTGAAGAAAGGTTTACGAAAATCCAGTCACCTAGGAGTTGCTTAGGATCCATGGCGTTAATGGGACCTAGAGGAAACTAGAGAGACTGTCCTAGCGTGGTTGAGCTACTTAGACCCCCAAATGACGCCTTGGAGTTGCCATGTGGTCAGGGATAGTTAGTCAATCCTTCTCTCGTAGCACCATGGAGTTGCCATGGGCCGGGTTGCATTAACGATTTAGAAAGGATGAATGGAAAAGGTTTTGAAAATGGGAAGCGACATTAACATCTCATTGGCATTCCATTTTTATTGCATTATATAGTATGGTTTGGGTGACCTTGTTGTTGGCATATTTTCCCCCAAAATAGCATGATTCCGGTTCCTTTATTCTATGCTTTGTTTGGATTCATGAGGTTATCAAGAGGTGTGTTTTAGGCACCTCCTACTGAGCCGTTGTACTCATCCTTTTATAACAATTTTTCAGGTCACGGGAAAGAAGTGACGGACGACGCTCCCTCACAAGTTTAGACGGATTGGATGAAACTTTGACTTCTTTTATAATCAATGTATATGCCTCTATTTTGTTACAATTTGTATTAAATGATGCCATGTATTCAATTTACGGATAGAAATGGTTTTGAGACCTCTTTTGTATCTTTTGCGGTCTCATTAAGATTTCTAAATCCATGTAAGGCCTTATGGCCATGTTATGTTGTAACTATACTCTTTTCGACTTCAATGAATGTAATAAACCACTTATATTTCAATTGGACGCATGGAGGTTTATTTGCGATGTATATTATCACATGCATGTTTTCAAGACAGGTTTAGATTGTATTTAAGGTCCCAAATGGACCCAAGGGGTGCCAAGGCTTCAAACCAACAAGCACAGGACAAAAAGGCCTCAGCAGGGCAAACCGGTCGACGCCTAGGGATTTCACATCGACCGGTATCTTTCAGTGGAGTTTTTGGGCGTGGGGGACTAAACCAGTTAACGTGAGCCACCTTCATGTCGACCGGTTCCTGCCCTTTTCTATTTTCATTTTTTTTCTTCTCCTGTCCATTTCCGAGCTGCATGATGATGTAATGGTGTACTGTAAAGACTAAAATGATGTTTTAACTATGAACTGACATTGGAAATAATTGTAATGCCCTTAGATGACCTCGAGTTTGGGTAAGGACCCGGATAATGATTCAGATCCCTGGGTTCGGGTCATTACAACAAATCTCACATGGGTGGAACGTTTGAAATTTATTACTCTGACCAGTCTCTTTCTCCATCTGCCCTAATTGCATCTATAGGATGAGTCTGACTCAAGAACTGAACTTCAGAGATCTAGACTAAGGCTACAAAACAGCCAACTCAGGAAGAGATAGCGTATGCCCTACTTCTGAGTTCATTTTTTCCTACTCGACCCGCCTCCTTTGACTACTCCTGAGATTTTAAGACTATAAAAAGTCAATTATACTCTTATATGTAATATATTTTTATAATACAAAATATATTATAAAATCTAAAAAAATTAATTTTCTATCTCATCTCTTTTATTACTTTCTTTCTCCTCTCCACCACCATTACTCCCTCCTAAAAAAATATTTTAAATAAAAAAAAAAAAAAAAATGAGTCTAAGTGCAACTTGGTCATTTTATGATTTTTTTTTTTACCAGAGCGGTAAATCTAAAACGCTCCACTTGTATGAGATTTGCCCAAACCTCAGGGAAAGTCAGTGTAATTTACAATTTTTTTTTTTTTTTTTTTTTTTTTTTTTTTTTTTGAAATTTGAAAGATAATGGAGAGAGAGGAAAGCAAAAGAATTAGTGTCAAATAAAATGAACAAAACAGTAATTTGATTATTATGAAAATTTGTTCAAATGAATTATAACAAGATTCTGTGCTTGATTATTATCTTTTCCTTTGAAGTCCTTAGTGAATTATTAGTTATTAATAATTTATCATTTAGCAAGTTTTCTTCCTTTATTCTCCTTCACTTCTAGCTAGACATGAAATAAGTAATCCCATTTTTTTTATTAAAAAAAAAAAAGTTTATTTGAACTTTTACAAATTTTAAAAACCAGTTGATACTAATTGATTAAAAAAACATGATAACTTTATTTAAAAAAATATATACAATTGCGACAACAATCTTAGCTTATCTTTTTTTTTAAAAAAAATAGTGATGGGAAAACTAAAGAAAATAAATGTTTATTCTATAGAAAAAATAACAAATGAAATATTTCTTTGTTTTTTTTTCTTTTGCCTACATATTTTCGTCATATTTTGAAGGTTGCTCAATTACTATTAATGCTATGTAGTTATTTCAGTTACATAGAATTAGTGATCTAAAACCGAACTGCCAAGAGAGACCAATTATATGCAGTAGAAAAAGTGCAAAGACAGCGGGATTCACTTTCTCCAGCTCATTCAAGCATGGAGGCATGCATTTGGTTCATAAACATGTGGATAATGAGTGTTAATTATCCACATAAATTTTACTTGCAATATGGTGCAGGGGGGCAAGCTTGAAAATATTGAGATGTTTATGACTACTTTCAAAACCATCTTTCTGATGGTAAAACATGGTCTTCATCAATGAGTGCTAATTTATTTTCTCTGATGTCATGAACACATTTGAATTTAATTTGTTTGAGATAATGAATTAGAGGTCCATATTAATTAACGTACAATGAGCAGAGACTAGAGATTAGTGATTTGACTAAAGTTTATAAGTGTTAAAAGACTAACAATGTTTAGTTAGGTAATTGAGAGAAGAAGTTTCAGTTACACAACATAGATTCCTTTCATGGCTAGTAAGAGCTTCTAACACGGCTTTGCCAGAAATAGAGGTTTTTT